TGTTAATGACTGTCTGAACCCGCCCATCCATAACCTGTGAGCGTAATGTTAATGACTGTCTGAACTCGCCCATCCATAACCTGTGAGCGTAATGTTAATGACTGACTGAACCCGCCCATCCATAACCGTGAGCGTAATGTTAATGACTGACTGAACCCGCCCATCCATAACCGTGAGCGTAATGTTAATGACTGTCTGAATCCGCCCATCCATAACCGTGAGCGAAATGTTAATGACTGTCTGAATCCGCCCATCCATAACCGTGAGCGTAATGTTAATGACTAACTGAACCCGCCCATCCATAACCTGTGAGCGTAATGTTAATGACTGTCTGAACCCGCCAAAACATAACCGTAAGCGTAATGTTAATGACTGTCTGAACCCAACCATCCATAACCGTGAGCGTAATGTTAATGACTGTCTGAACCCAACCATCCATAACCTGTGAGCGTAATGTTAATGACTGTCTGAACCCAACCATCCATAACCTGTGAGCGTAATGTTAATGACTGTCTGAACCCGCCCATCTTATAACCTGTGAGCGTAATGTTAATGACTGTCTGAACCCAACCATCCATAACCGTGAGCGTAATGTTAATGACTGTCTGAACCCGCCCATCCATAACCTGTGAGCGTAATGTTAATGACTGTCTGAACCCGCCCATCCATAACCGTGAGCGAAATGTTAATGACTGTCTGAACCCGCCCAACCATACCCGTGAGCGTAATGTTAATGACTGTCTGAACCCGCCCATCCATAACCTGTGAGCGTAATGTTAATGACTGTCTGAACCCAACCATCCATAACCGTGAGCGTAATGTTAATGACTGTCTGAACCCGCCCATCCATAACCGTAAGCGTAATGTTAATGACTGACTGAACCCAACCATCCATAACCGTGAGCGTAATGTTAATGACTGTCTGAACCCGCCCATCCATAACCGTGAGCGTAATGTTAATGACTGTCTGAACCCAACCATCCATAACCGTGAGCGTAATGTTAATGACTGACTGAACCCGCCCATCCATAAACGTGAACCTAATGTTAATGACTGTCTGAACCCGCCCATCCATAACCTGTGAGCGTAATGTTAATGACTGTCTGAACCCGCCCATCCATAACCGTAAGCGTAATGTTAATGACTGTCTGAATCCGCCCATCCATAACCGTGAGCGTAATGTTAATGACTGTCTGAACCCGCCCATCCATAACCTCTGAGCGTAATGTTAATGACTGTCTGAACCCGCCCATCCATAACATGTGAGCGTAATGTTAATGACTGTCTGAACCCAACCATCCATAACCTGTGAGCGTAATGTTAATGACTGTCTGAACCCGCCCATCCATAACCTGTGAGCGTAATGTTAATGACTGTCTGAACCCGCCCATCCATAACCGTGAGCGTAATGTTAATGACTGTCTGAACCCCCCCATCCATAACCGTGAGCGAAATGTTAATGACTGTCTGAACCCGCCCATCTTATAACCTGTGAGCGTAATGTTAATGACTGTCTGAACCCAACCATCCATAACCGTGAGCGTAATGTTAATGACTGTCTGAACCCGCCCATCCATAACCTGTGAGCGTAATGTTAATGACTGTCTGAACCCGCCCATCCATAACCGTGAGCGAAATGTTAATGACTGTCTGAACCCGCCCAACCATACCCGTGAGCGTAATGTTAATGACTGTCTGAACCCGCCCATCCATAACCTGTGAGCGTAATGTTAATGACTGTCTGAACCCAACCATCCATAACCGTGAGCGTAATGTTAATGACTGTCTGAACCCGCCCATCCATAACCGTAAGCGTAATGTTAATGACTGACTGAACCCAACCATCCATAACCGTGAGCGTAATGTTAATGACTGTCTGAACCCGCCCATCCATAACCGTGAGCGTAATGTTAATGACTGTCTGAACCCGCCCATCCATAACCTGTGAGCGTAATGTTAATGACTGTCTGAACCCGCCCATCCATAACCTGTGAGCGTAATGTTAATGACTGTCTGAACCCGCCCATCCATAACCGTAAGCGTAATGTTAATGACTGTCTGAATCCGCCCATCCATAACCGTGAGCGTAATGTTAATGACTGTCTGAACCCGCCCATCCATAACCTCTGAGCGTAATGTTAATGACTGTCTGAACCCAACCATCCATAACCTGTGAGCGTAATGTTAATGACTGTCTGAACCCGCCCATCCATAACCTGTGAGCGTAATGTTAATGACTGTCTGAACCCGACCATCCATAACCGTAAGTGTAATGTTAATGACTGTCTGAACCCGACCATCCATAACCGTGAGCGTAATGTTAATGACTGTCTGAACCCCCCCATCCATAACCGTGAGCGAAATGTTAATGACTGTCTGAATCCGCCCATCCATAACCGTGAGCGTAATGTTAATGACTGTCTGAACCCGCCCATCCATAACCGTGAGCGTAATGTTAATGACTGTCGGAACCCGCCCATCCATAACCTGTGAGCGTAATGTTAATGACTGTCTGAACCCGCCCATCCATAACCGTGAGCGTAATGTTAATGACTGTCTGAACCCGCCCATCCATAACCGTGAGCGTAATGTTAATGACTGTCGGAACCCGCCCATCCATAACCGTGAACGTAATGTTAATGACTGACTGAACCCGCCCATCCATAAACGTGAACCTAATGTTAATGACTGTCTGAACCCGCCCATCCATAACCGTGAGCGTAATGTTAATGACTGTCTGAACCCGCCCATCCATAACCTGTGAGCGTAATGTTAATGACTGTCTGAACCCGCCCATCCATAACCGTGAGCGTAATGTTAATGACTGTCTGAACCCAACCATCCATAACCGTGAGCGTAATGTTAATGACTGTCTGAACCCGCCCATCCATAACCGTGAGCGTAATGTTAATGACTGTCTGAACCCGCCCATCCATAACCGTGAGCGTAATGTTAATGACTGTCTGAACCCGCCCATCCATAACCGTGAACGTAATGTTAATGACTGTCTGAACCCGCCCATCCATAACCGTGAGCGTAATGTTAATGACTGTCCGATTGAAACCGTCCATATTGAAAACTAAACTAATAGTTATGACTGTCTTTGATTTAAATTTGTTTCAAATAGAAATCTCGCGAAGCTCTAACTTTCCCTAATGTTCCTAGCCCACCCCACCCCCTCTCCCCGCGTCCTCCCCCCTCCCCACTGGTATCTTATCTCTGTAATCCGCTGATGGCTGGGTATGAAGGGATATTCCCATTATGTCGCCTATAATACACCAGTACCTGTCGGCCAACAAGCGGAGCTGCATCTGGTTTCTATTACACCAGCACACTTTGAACCAGGGGCTGCCTGCCTCAGGGCTTCTCAAGCTGCTAGTCACAGGCTCACGGTTTCTTTTGACACACTCAACCAGCCACAACTGTTAGATATGGACAACACATCCACCCCCCCCCCCCAAGCTTTGTATACGTGGACATAACCATACGTGGAGATTTCACTTTGGGCGAGACTCTACTATAGCTTGGCACGATATCGTTGGCGTGAATGTGATTACATGCTATTGTTAGTAACTTGGAGAGTTGATTTAGCGACCCCGGTCTCGGTCACTGAGGGAACCACTGGGTACAAGCAATATTAGAGGCATGAGTCGTCTCCCCATCTCAGCCACTTACATCAACTCGTTTTCCTGTTGATTGGCCTGGATTAACCGCGGATTACTCGTAAACTTGTTACGTTTCAGCAGCAGACAGCCATGGAGCTACTTCCATCACACCCTTGGTTTCCGTATACTTCTGCCAGTCCTCGCCCCTTGTTTTCCGTATACTCCTACCGGTCCTAGACCCTTGGTTTCCGTATACTTTTACCGGTTCTCGCCCCTTGGTTTCCGTATACTTCCACCCGTCCCCGACACCCGTTTTTCCACCACAGGAAATTCAGAAAATGTTTGGGACTTGCATTCACCCAAATATCAAGTCCAACTCCACAACCACGGAAAATATAATTCTCCCAAATTTCACGTCTAACCACCGAACATAATTCTCCCAAATTTCACGTCTAACCACCGAACCACCGAACCTAATTCTCCCAAATATCACGTCTAACCACCGAACCTAATTCTCCCAAATTTCACGACTAACCACCCAACCACCGAACCTAATTCTCCCAAATATCACGTCTAACCACCGAACCTAATTCTCCCAAATTTCACGTCTAACCACCGAACCACCGAACATAATTCTCCCAAATATCACGACTAACCACCGAACCACCGAACATAATTCTCCCAAATATCACGTCTAACCACCGAACCACCGAACATAATTCTCCCAAATATCACGACTAACCACCGAACCACCGAACATAATTCTCCCAAATATCACGTCTAACCACCGAACCACCGAACATAATTCTCCCAAATATCACGTCTAACCACCGAACCACCGAACCTAATTCTCCCAAATATCACGTCTAACCACCGAACCTAATTCTCCCAAATATCACGTCTAACCACCGAACCACCGAACATAATTCTCCCAAATATCACGACTAACCACCGAACCACCGAACATAATTCTCCCAAATTTCACGACTAACCACCCAACCACCGGACACATTAACCAGGAAACCTGGTACGCTGATAAGGTTTATAACTCTTTTTGTGGTTCCTCAAGTTTTTAACGACCCGCCCGCTGTTGCTAGCCAATTCCAGTCCGTTTCATCTATTATTTCGCCCCCCCCCCTCCCACGTCTGATCTCTTTGTCTAGTCAAGTGTATAAAAAGCTGTCAGTTTCCTATTCTTTCTTGTATGTTTACAATGATAGTGCCGACTTACAAACAGCATTGACCTCCACTTATGATGCTGACTTAACAAATGCCGTAGTCTAGCTATCCAAATGTCAGACTAATTTGACTAAATCTATAGTAGAAAGTTGACCAAATACTTGACGGTCCCTAGAGCCTGAGTATAAAAGTCTAATGAGATGTGTGTTCCCCCAGAGAGCCGCGAGACTGCTTACATCTACGCCATCTCCTCGGCCGGCATCATGTACAGCGTGACCCGAGCCTGCGCCAAGGGCGAGCTGGACAAGTGCGGCTGTGATAACAAAGCCAGGAGCCGGGAGCCGGGGGAGAACTTTGAGTGGGGAGGCTGCTCTGAGAATATCCGCTATGGCGCCAAGTTTTCCAAAGATTTTCTCGATCGCAACGAAACAAGAAACAAGGACCAGGGCAGCATGAACCTGTGGAATAATGGAGCCGGTAGAAAGGTCAGAAGTTTGTCATCTTGTCTGTATGTTTTCATTATATCTAGAACTAGCTGCATACCCGTGCTTCGCCACGGTGAATCTTTTTAAAATATACCAACGGAAAAAAAAAACCCAAGTCAATTACAAAGGAAAAAAAAACGCAAACAAAAACAAAAACGCTAACAAAAACAGAAACAGAAACCCAATGCAATACGCAATCACAAACGCAAAGATAAATACAAACAAAAGAAAACACAAATCCAATACAAACGCAAACTCAAACAAAATCGCAAACACAACTCAAACACAAAAAAAAACACAACACAAATACAATGCAACAAGCTAACGTAAATACAGAACACAAACGGAAACACAAATACAAGCACAACAGAAATCAAACGCAAACAAACGCAAACTCAAACAAAACTCAAACACAACGCAAATTACAAACACAACGCAAATTACAAACACATCGCAAATCACAAACACAAACAAATCACAAACACAAACAATGTGAAACAAATCAAATGAAAACGTAAACGCTTTATCAAATTGCTTTATGAAACAAAAGACCGTGTATACAATACATATGCTCTCACGCACCGCCGAACAACACGCTTTCCTGGGCGTCCGCGTTCAGTGACCGCCTTTCCCACATTCGTTATCACTGAAAAAAAAATAGTATGAAAAGGAGTTAAAACTGCCAACAACACGAAAAAAATTAAGTCACATAAATAGATTCTACTCCACAACTTACAATAAGACAATGCGATGTAAGTAAATGAACGGCAAGTGGTGTTTACTTTTATGGTTCTAAGAAAACACATTGGCAATGTAATTAGAATCACCGCCGAACAACACGCTTTCCTAGGCGTCTGCGCCCAGAGAGAGCCTTTCCAGCATTCTCTAAAACTCTAATTTCACCATCTGTTTTAATAACACCGAAAAACAAAAAATAGTGATTTTGATAGATCATAGACTTATTAGAAAATAATATAAATAAATCATTGTAACATTTTTTCTATAATAAATGCGGTAGTAATAATAAAAAAAATAACTTAAATCATTGAGGTGTCAACTAGAGAAACAAGTTAATAAAAAGTCTAGTGACAATTTAAGCGCAATTTCCTTAATTAATTTTTTGTGACCAAACGAAAGGGTATTTTTGAAAACTTTCTTCGGCAATATTGTTCTAAATTATGGCAGGAATCGATTGGTAAATGTTTCAAGTCGCTAAGTGGTCTGGTTGCCGAGATATGGGCCAAAAATGCATTTTTTCGAGGTTTTTCGGCTTTTCCGGGAAATCCAGGAAGGAATTCCGGGAATTTATTTGGCCCACAATCATCCTCGGAACTTGCTTAACATATTTGCTTTGGAACTAGTCCTCGATATTGCTTCGTTGAGGAGGAGATACGACTTAAAGCTGCGGACACACATCGGACACACATCCATCCAGAACGAATTAATAATCGCAATTGTCAGTATGGAAATTGCGCTAAAAAATGTAGTCGTTATATAAATAAACCCTTCTCTATTCTTTATAATAAGACAATGCGATGCAATGTTAAAGCACTGCATGGTTTGATGTTTACTCTCATGGTTCTAAAATCTATAGCGATGACGGAAGGACTGACACACTACCAGCAGCGTTATATTATAGATCATAGAAATGGTACTTGTCACGATACTATTAAAGTCTGTCTTTTGTCATGATAATTGTAATGTCTGTCTATTATCACGATACTTGTAATGTCTGTCTATTGTCTTGATACCCGTCTAAAGGCCTGTACGTTTGTTGCAGACGATCAAAGATCACGTGGAGAAACAGTGCAAGTGTCACGGTGTTTCTGGCGACTGTTCGGTGAAGATCTGCTGGCGCAAAATGCGCTCCTTCAGAGACATTGGCGCGTCCTTGAAACACAAGTTCGACGGCGCCACGTACGTCAAGTGGGATAAACGGAGGAGACGCTTGAAGCGCATCACTGGCATGCAGAAGCGACCCACCAAAGGCGACTTGGTCTACTTGCAGGAGTCCCCAGACTTTTGCGAGTTTAACCCGGAGTACGGGTCACTGGGCACCCGCGGCCGGCAGTGCAACAAGACCAGCTACGGGCTGGACGGCTGCACCCTCATGTGCTGTGGGCGGGGCTATCAGACTCTGGTCAGCGAGGAAAAATATGACTGTGACTGTAAATTTTTCTGGTGCTGCCGCGTTGAGTGTAAAAAGTGCACAAAAGTCTTAGAGAAACATTTCTGCAACTAGCCAGTCCGCTAGCTGTGCACATTCTGTTCAGTCTTTGAGATTGACGATTTGTCAGTGCAGGACAGGAGTATCTGCTCACATTTGAGTTACTTCTACACCATGCTGTGTGCGGAGTAAGGACAGGAGTACCTGCTCACATTTGACTTGCTTCTACACCCTGTTGTGTGCGGAGTGAGAACAGGAGTATCTACACACATTTGAGTTGCTTCTACACCATGCTGTGTGCGGAGTGAGGACAGGAGTACCTGCTCACATTTGAGTTGCTTCTACACCCTGTTGTGTGCGGAGTGAGAACAGGAGTATCTACACACATTTGAGTTGCTTCTACACCCTGTTGTGTGCGGAGTGAGAACAGGAGTATCTACACACATTTGAGTTGCTTCTACAACATGCTGTGTGCGGAGTAAGCAGACTAGAACATGCACATTGTGTGGTTCTCTGACAGTGGACATTGCACCTCTAGTGGGACATAGTTTTACATACAGCTTCGCGCAGTGAAAGCTTCTTGATATCAATGGTCAGCTCTTTCTTGTTGAACATAGGCAGGGATTGGAAGGTTTCAAACGCCTCAGCCTAAGATTTGATACAACACATAGGGGGTGGTGTGTACAGGGCCTGTCTTAGATTTGATACAACACATAGGGGGGTGGTGTGTACAGGGCCTGTCTTAGATTTGATACAACACATAGGGGGGTGGGGGGGGGCTGTGTACAGGGCCTGTCTTAGATTTGATACAACACATATGGGGTGGTGTGTACAGGGCCTGTCTTAGATTTGATACAACACATAGGGGGGTGGTGTGTACAGGGCCTGTCTTAGATTTGATACAACACATAGGGGGCTGTGTACAGGGCCTGTCTTAGATTTGATACAACACATAGGGGGCTGTGTACAGGGCCTGTCTTAGATTTGATACAACACATAGGGGGCTGTGTACAGGGCCTGTCTTAGATTTGATACAACACATAGGGGGCTGTGTACAGGGCCTGTCTTAGATTTGATACAACACATAGGGGGGTGGTGTGTACAGGGCCTGTCTTAGATTTGATACAACACATAGGGGGGTGGTGTGTACAGGGCCTGTCTAAGATTTGATACAACACATAGGGGGGTGGTGTGTACAGGGCCTGTCTTAGATTTGATACAACACATAGGGGGGGGGGCTGTGTACAGGGCCTCAGTCTAAGATTTGATACAACACATAGGGGGGCTGTGTACAGGGCCTGTCTTAGATTTGATACAACACATAGGGGGGTGGTGTGTACAGGGCCTGTCTTAGATTTGATACAACACATATGGGGTGGTGTGTACAGGGCCTGTCTTAGATTTGATACAACACATATGGGGTGGTGTGTACAGGGCCTCAGTCTAAGATTTGATACAACACATAGGGGGTGGTGTGTACAGGGCCTGTCTTAGATTTGATACAACACATAGGGGGGTGGCGTGTACAGGGCCTGTCTTAGATTTGATACAACACATAGGGGGGTGGTGTGTACAGGGCCTGTCTTAGATTTGATACAACACATATGGGGTGGTGTGTACAGGGCCTGTCTTAGATTTGATACAACACATAGGGGGGTGGTGTGTACAGGGCTTGTATTGGTTGAACTATCGTCAAGTCAACCAATATTATTAGCTTCAGGGAATACTATACGTTCATGTCAAGATCCCATATTTATTCTTAAAAACAGTCAACAACTAGGCGTCGACTAGTTTTTATCTTCTATTTAAGGTGCCACATTTTAAAAATATAACGAGCTAGGACCCCACATTTGACTAGATACGGGTCCTGCATTTTTACAGGGACCCACGTTTAAAAAAAAAATCTGTACACCAGTTAGACGGCCATCCTCAGATTGAGAAAACTGTACACTAATTTTAGACGGCTGTTGAAGAACAGGCTAGGAAGATTACACGTGTGTAGCTGCGTGTAATGTGTTAATGGTGTGTCAACGAGTGTGTAAATCTGAAGGCGTGCCTGTTGTTTGTGTAGCACTAAATATTAGCTGTATGATTGCTCGGACATGACCTTTATGTATATGTAGCACTAGGACTTAGCTGTATATTTTGTATCCATGTACTCCTCCCATGTTTTACAGATGTTTCACATGTCCCTTGTCATGACGACAGATATTGTAATGGTAGCCTTGTACGTACAACCTTCACAATGTACAAATCTCACCAACCTCACGTGTAATTAATCATTTCCCTCAAGATTCTTTCTACTGCATAAGTTGGGCACCGAGCGGCAGGTTCTACTGGACCCAGGCTCTAGACAAAAGGTCATCTGATACGGTCTTATCGCTGGCCCAATTGACTCAATTCAATCGGCACATTGGCTTTTGGGGGGGGGGGGGGGGCATTAGGGTGGGTGCGATTCAATTCAAGTTATAAACAATTTATCGTATTTATAGTTATTTCTATTGAAGCTATAGAACCTAAAAGTTTGAGTTTTTGAACGGGCTTGTGACGCAGGGAACATTGTCAGCCCGTCTTGCTCTCTCTCCCTACAGTTTGTTGGTCTACCCTACCACAGGATCCTAATGTGTAGGCTCATTTTTCCTAGGATAACTTGGGGTAGGGGGCATAGTCCTAAGATTCTATGGTTATGAGGTAATCGGGGGGAGGGGGTATAAAGTTCCTTGAATACCAGTGTTCTATTAGGCTGATGTCAGGTGAGAGCTGATGACGGTACAAAAGCTGTTGGGTCCATGTTCGGGTGGATGACTGGTGGTGATTTACTTTCCCTATCAGTGAGTGACCAACAGCTGGTGATGTCTACCTTGGACAGACCATCACCAAACCCACTCACATTTTCTCGGTCTCTCTCGGCACAGGGGTCATCAGTAAGACCCAGTCTATGGTCATTTTGACCCACCCACGGGTTATGCTATAATACATTATCATCTACTTGTGGTGCCATTAGTGTTAGAATCATTTCTTTCTCGATGTCTGTTTTCAGTGTCTGATTTTGTTGTCACGTACCAAAGACATGATTAGCTGATGATTAGAAACAAAATAAATGCTCTCTTTCTTTTAATTGCTAGCAGCTTTCATTGATTTTTTTGTTCAGTGGCGTCAACTGTGGCAGGTGCCCGGGGTAAAGCTAGAGAGGGGCCCCTGCAGCTAGAGAGGGGCCCCTGCTGAAAATGTTTGGGCCCATGTTTTAGGCATACATAACTTATAATATACAGGCATATAATTACTATAAATACACGTGTATGTATATATAATCGTATATAAATATTTATGTATACTTAATTGTATGATACGTTAACTTTTGGACATTTATAAATCCTGCTTCCCAAGGCTTAATCACCCCCCCCCCCCCACACACACACACATCCGCTATTTAAGGTACTGCTATATTTATTTTTACAATTAAACTAGAAGGCTTATACTTTATCTCAACCAGCAAGATTGTACCCAATAGTATACAAAAACAAGGCCATTTTTTTTTTTCTAATATTTTTTTAAATATGTAAAATAACAGACTATTGACAGCGTATCGTATTTTCTACGGTAATTTCTTAGTTTCAAAGAACTGGAATAGCCGCTTGAAAGTTGAGAAGGTCCTCATTTATAAATGAGTTCTGTAAACCGGCCTGAATAACAGAAGGTCCTCATTTATAAATGAGTTCTGTAAACCGGCCTGAATAACAGAAGGTCCTCATTTATAAATGAGTTCTGTAAACCGGCCTGAATAACAGAAGGTCCTCATTTATAATTGAGTTCTGTAAACCGGCCTGAATAAGTATCTGCCTGCGCTGGGGATAAAAACTGATGTTATTATTAAGGGGGAGTGTGGACGTCACGTGACTTGTGTTGGATGATTAAATAAGGGGATGATTGAACCCTTACAAAATATTCACTTTTCCAATACAACCAGCTACTGAGCTAGTCTACTGTACAACCAGCTACTGAGCTAGTCTACTGTACAACCAGCTACTGAGCTAGTCTACTGTACAACCAGCTACTGAGCTAGTCTACTGTACAACCAGCTACTGAGCTAGTCTACTGTACAACCAGCTACTGAGCTAGTCTACTGTACAACCAGCTACTGAGCTAGTCTACTGTAAATGTTAAGTGGAGGTTCCCAGAAAGATGCGCAAACAGAACAAAAGCACAAACAGAAATTTGCGCACACAGAAAGTGACAGAAAGTGCACAAAGAGAATAATGCGCAGGCGGAAAAATGTGCAAAATGAAAATTGCGCCCACATTAAAATACGTACACAAAATAATAAGTAAAGAGGAATGTGCGCACACATAAAACATCAAAATAGAAATGTGCGCATACAGAAAACTCGCAGATCGCTCTAGTCCACCCATTACATGTCCAAACTCAAGTCCACCCAGTACATGTACAAACTCTAGTCCACCCAGTACATGTACAAACTCTAGTCCACCCAGTACATGTACAAACTCTAGTCCACCCAGTACATGTACAAACTCTAGTCCACCCAGTACATGTACAAACTCTAGTCCACCCAGTACATGTACAAACTCTAGTCCACCCAGTACATGTACAAACTCTAGTCCACCCAGTACATGTACAAACTCTAGTCCACCCAGTACAAACTCTAGTCCACCCAGTACATGTACAAACTCTAGTCCACCCAGTACATGTACAAACTCTAGTCCACCCAGTACATGTACAAACTCTAGTCCACCCAGTACATGTACAAACTCTAGTCCACCCAGTACATGTACAAACTCTAGTCCACCCAGTACATGTACAAACTCTAGTCCACCCAGTACATGTACAAACTCTAGTCCACCCAGTACAAACTCTAGTCCACCCAGTACATGTACAAACTCTAGTCCACCCAGTACATGTACAAACTCTAGTCCACCCAGTACATGTACAAACTCTAGTCCACCCAGTACATGTACAAACTCTAGTCCACCCAGTACATGTACAAACTCTAGTCCACCCAGTACATGTACAAACTCTAGTCCACCCAGTACATGTACAAACTCTAGTCCACCCAGTACATGTACAAACTCTAGTCCACCCAGTACATGTACAAACTCTAGTCCACCCAGTACATGTACAAACTCTAGTCCACCCATAACATGTCCAAAATCAAGTCCACCCAGTACATGTACAAACTCTAGTCCACCCAGTACATGTACAAACTCTAGTCCACCCAGTACATGTACAAACTCTAGTCCACCCAGTACATGTACAAACTCTAGTCCACCCAGTACATGTACAAACTCTAGTCCACCCAGTACAAACTCTAGTCCACCCAGTACATGTACAAACTCTAGTCCACCCAGTACATGTACAAACTCTAGTCCACCCAGTACATGTACAAACTCTAGTCCACCCAGTACATGTACAAACTCTAGTCCACCCAGTACATGTACAAACTCTAGTCCACCCAGTACAAACTCTAGTCCACCCAGTACATGTACAAACTCTAGTCCACCCAGTACATGTACAAACTCTAGTCCACCCAGTACATGTACAAACTCTAGTCCACCCATTACATGTCCAAACTCAAGTCCACCCAGTACATGTACAAACTCTAGTCCACCCAGTACATGTACAAACTCTAGTCCACCCAGTACATGTACAAACTCTAGTCCACCCAGTACATGTACAAACTCTAGTCCACCCAGTACATGTACAAACTCTAGTCCACCCAGTACATGTACAAACTCTAGTCCACCCAGTACATGTACAAACTCTAGTCCACCCATTACATGTACAAACTCTAGTCCACCCAGTACATGTACAAACTCTAGTCCACCCAGTACATGTACAAACTCTAGTCCACCCAGTACATGTACAAACTCTAGTCCACCCAGTACATGTACAAACTCTAGTCCACCCAGTACATTTACAAACTCTAGTCCACCCATTACATGTACAAACTCTAGTCCACCCATTACATGTACAAACTCTAGTCCACCCAGTACATGTACAAACTCTAGTCCACCCAGTACATGTACAAACTCTAGTCCACCCAGTACATGTACAAACTCTAGTCCACCCAGTACATGTACAAACTCTAGTCCACCCAGTACATGTACAAACTCTAGTCCACCCAGTACATGTACAAACTCTAGTCCACCCAGTACATGTACAAACTCTAGTCCACCCAGTACATGTACAAACTCTAGTCCACCCAGTACATGTACAAACTCTAGTCCACCCAGTACATGTACAAACTCTAGTCCACCCAGTACATGTACAAACTCTAGTCCACCCAGTACAAACTCTAGTCCACCCAGTACAAACTCTAGTCCACCCAGTACAAACTCTAGTCCACCCAGTACATGTACAAACTCTAGTCCACCCAGTACATGTACAAACTCTAGTCCACCCAGTACATGTACAAACTCTAGTCCACCCAGTACATGTACAAACTCTAGTCCACCCAGTACATGTACAAACTCTAGTCCACCCAGTACATGTACAAACTCTTGTCCACCCAGTACATGTACAAACTCTAGTCCACCCAGTACATGTACAAACTCTAGTCCACCCAGTACATGTACAAACTCTAGTCCACCCAGTACATGTACAAACTCTAGTCCACCCAGTACATGTACAAACTCTAGTCCACCCAGTACATGTCCAAACTCTAGTCCACCCAGTACATGTACAAACTCTAGTCCACCCAGTACATGTACAAACTCTAGTCCACCCAGTACATGTACAAACTCTAGTCCACCCAGTACATGTACAAACTCTAGTCCACCCAGTACATGTACAAACTCTAGTCCACCCAGTACATGTACAAACTCTAGTCCACCCAGTACATGTACAAACTCTAGTCCACCCAGTACATGTACAAACTCTAGTCCACCCAGTACATGTACAAACTCTAGTCCACCCAGTACATGTACAAACTCTAGTCCACCCAGTACATGTACAAACTCTAGTCCACCCAGTACATGTCCAAACTCTAGTCCACCCAGTACATGTCCAAACTCTAGTACACCCAGTACATGTCCAAACTCTAGTCCACCCAGTACATGTACAAACTCTAGTCCACCCAGTACATGTACAAACTCTAGTCCACCCAGTACATGTACAAACTCTAGTCCACCCAGTACATGTACAAACTCTAGTCCACCCAGTACATGTACAAACTCTAGTCCACCCAGTACATGTACAAACTCTAGTCCACCCAGTACATGTACAAACTCTAGTCCACCCAGTACATGTACAAACTCTAGTCCAGCCAGTACATGTACAAACTCTAGTCCACCCAGTACATGTACAAACTCTAGTCCACCCAGTACATGTACAAACTCTAGTCCACCCAGTACATGTACAAACTCTAGTCCACCCAGTACATGTACAAACTCTAGTCCACCCAGTACATGTACAAACTCTAGTCCACCCAGTACATGTACAAACTCTAGTCCACCCAGTACATGTACAAACTCTAGTCCACCCAGTACATGTACAAACTCTAGTCCACCCAGTACATGTACAAACTCTAGTCCACCCAGTACATGTACAAACTCTAGTCCACCCAGTACATGTACAAACTCTAGTCCACCCAGTACATGTACAAACTCTAGTCCACCCAGTACAAACTTTAGTCCACCCAGTACATGTACAAACTCTAGTCCACCCATTACATGTACAAACTCTAGTCCACCCAGTACATGTACAAACTCTAGTCCACCCAGTACATGTACAAACTCTAGTCCACCCAGTACATGTACAAACTCTAGTCCAGCCAGTACATGTACAAACTCTAGTCCAGTATCTAGTGCACGATACTTGCCCACCATCTTTACCGTTTGTTTGCCAGTTATCGCCGGCATGTACCATAGTACAGTGTGTAGGACCGGTTATTTCCGGCTAGTATCACGTGTTCTGCTCTTTGTCTTCCGAGATCACGTGACTTGTATCTTTGTTGGCGCGTGCTGTCCCACGTGCGCGCTGCTGGGCCGGCCCGACCCCCCGCTGATGTTAAATTGGACTTGCCTACAGCTAGTGGTGAAATTCAATTTTTATCTCTCTGACTCAGATCTCCCCCGCTCTCGTCATTGCTCGCTTGGTTTTTTCTTGGATCAACACTGCTCGAGGGGGCCCGTCCACTGCTCGAGGGGACCCGTCCTCTGCTCGAGGGGGCCCGTCCACTGCTCGAGGGGACCCGTCCTCTGCTCGAGGGGGCCCAACCACTGCTCGAGGGGGCCCGTACTCTGCTCGAGGGGGCCCGTCCTCTGCTCGAGGGGGCCCGTCCTCTGCTCGAGGGGGCCCGTCTTCTGCTCGAGGGGGCCCGTCTTCTGCTCGAGGGGGCCCGTCCACTGCTCGAGGGGGCCCGTCTTCTGCTCGAGGGGGCCCGTCTTCTGCTCGAGGGGGCCCGTCCACTGCTCGAGGGGGCCCGTCTTCTGCTCGAGGGGGCCCGTCTTCTGCTCGAGGGGACCCGTCCACTGCTCGAGGGGGCCCGTCTTCTGCTCGAGGGGGCCCGTCCACTGCTCGAGGGGGCCCGTCTTCTGCTCGAGGGGGCCCGTCCACTGCTCGAGGGGGCCCGTCCTCTGCTCGAGGGGGCCCGTCCAGGGCCGCTCTCTTTTCGACCCGAGACGTCATGTTTGGAAAATAACTTCTCCCCAGGCTCCCAAAGAAAACACGATGGAAATAGCAAAGCCTGTGTTTGCCTGGGTATTATCAGTTTATTTTTGTGAAATGTGACTGCTCGGCCTGTCATAGAAAACATGTTCTCCTGGGTAGAAGTGGGGTGCGGGGAGCGTTGATTGACGGGGGCGGTCTGCTCCTGGTAACGTGGTATGCCCCCTCCCCCTCCCCCCCATCAACGGTATCCCAGACAAGGCATGCCTAGAATGCCTCGCTAAATATCACCTTTTGATTTTTTTTTAACGGAAGAGTTCCGATCATGCAAGACTACTCCAATATATGAGGCAGGTTTTGCCATAATGGCGCAGTAGTCCTGCGATTAACTTAATCATCAAACCTGTAGAGACCTTGACATACTTTGCACTGCAGGCTGCTGTATGTCAAATATCCCACACCCGTGCTATATCACATTATTTCATACACATACAACACGTAAAATACAACACTCATGAAAACATGGGAAACACAACACACCACTAAAAAAAAAATTAAGTAGGTTAAAAAAACATGATCACTTAAAAAAAATTCTTCTGAATATTTTTGGTTAAAAGTTTATTGCCATCTTTATAACTTTATATACATTCATTAACAAAATAAATGTAGCCTATACATGAATTATTTATTCCAACAAAATGATTCACAGTCCTGAAAGAAAGAATAGTGAAACTCTGAAACGCTTGAACATTATACCAAGGGCCGTAATCTTGGAAAAATAAACCCCGCAAGATCGCAGGATTTGTCTTTCTCTACCACGGTTTTAAAAAATGGTCATTAGGTAACAATGTACGCTCTGTCAACGGAATAACAGATAGTTAATAATGATCTCAGACCAATTAATTATTTGTAACCTAATCAATGACAACTGGCTGCCAAAAGGCGTCAAGTCGCAGATAGGGGTTTATTTTACGATTGCTCAAGGCTCTTTCTAGGGTCACGTGTGTTGTGGGTCTGCGAATACAGTACATGGATCTAATAATAGATGTAAAGCTCAAATGGACTCTGTATATGGCGAACAGATATGTGTGTTTGTGAATGACATACGTATAATAAAAGATATGTGTCTGTGGATGACATACGTATAGTAAAAGACTAAAAAATTACAAACTGTCACTGGCAGAGGTAATGACGTCACGCGAAACTAAGGAAGAAATAATCTTATCAACCAGGCGAAACTAAGGAAGAAATAATCTTATCAAGCCAGATGAAACTAAGGAAGAAATAATCTTATCAAGCCAGATGAAACTAAGGAAGAAATAATCTTATCAAGCCAGATGAAACTAAGGAAGAAATAATCTTATCAAGCCAGATGAAACTAAGGAAGAAATAATCTTATCAAGCCAGATGAAACTAAGGAAGAAATAATCTTATCAAGCCAGATGAAACTAAGGAAGAAATAATCTTATCAAGCCAGATGAAACTAAGGAAGAAATAATCTTATCAAGCCAGATGAAACTAAGGAAGAAATAATCTTATCAAGCCAGATGAAACTAAGGAAGAAATAATCTTATCAACCAGGTGAAACTAAGGAAGAAATAATCTTATCAAGCCAGATGGAAGCTCACTAAAGCTACACAAAGGGAATGTCGTCATTCGTTGTAGATAAAAATAGAATAGATAGTCAAATGCCGAAAAGATTTCCAATAACTACGTCATGGATAATGGAAAATAAGGACACTAATATTACCGCCGAATTTATTTGTCTAATATTTAAAGTGTATGTACACTCGGTAACAAAGGGCAAGTAAAAAAATAACAAGCTTTTCTGTAATAATGCACTAAAAAGTAGAAAATATGCCGAGCTAGACAAAACCCACTATCCAACGATCACTAAAATAGCTCTAGATCCGGTCGAAGAAAATGGCCGGGGTCAGGGGTCGTCTCACATCCAGTGTCTCTCCACCAAGATGTAGGTCTTTACAGATTTTCTTTTTAGTTAGGTCAATTCAATTAAAAAAACACCAAGAAATATTAAACGTTTATTGAAGGTAATCAAATGTACATATACTGAGTTTAACAAATATTAAACGTTTATTGAAGGTAATCAAATGTACATATACTGAGTTTAACAATCATCGGGGTTAGCAATCGTTCGGTTTAACAACCAACGAGTTTAACAATCAACATGAGCTGGAGAAGGGTAATGAGACAGTGAAATAAACAAAAACCACCCGAATTCACGACAGCTCGTGGCCATTTTAAAATGTTATATTATAAATAATATAATTATTTTAAGTGACGATTTTTTTTGAGAAAATTAAAACAAAATAATTTATTAACGTACAAAAAAAATGTTGACAATAACATAATATTTCAAATTTAAGATGTAATTGTCGTTAATTTAAGATGTAATTGCCATCAATTTAAAATGGCGAAGGCTCTTGGTGAAGTAGTGGAAAACTTTGCTTCACGTGACTAATGACGTCATTTACAACCTTGGTCGAGGTGTACGTGGTGCAGCGCGTTCACTGAACAGGTCAGTCACGTGATGTGACGTCTGCTGCCCCAAGTCTTGCAGGATGAGGTTAGCCTGACCTTGACCGCTGAGGATGGCACCGTGGAAGGTCGAGATGAACTCATGAGCGTAGCCCTCTCCAGCAAACAACAGCCTCGGGTTCTAGAGGCGAGGGTAAAGGTTAGCGTCATCATTACATGGGACAGGTTAGCGCACGGGTTCCCAACCTGGGGGTCGCGACCCCCCTGGGGGTCGCGAAGGTCTTTCTGTGGGGTCGCCAACTGATATACAAAACTCAGTAATTTGAAACAAAACATAAATATTTAGAAGCATTTTTGAAATTCGGCTTCATTAACATCACTGGAAATGTAATAGAGAAGAAACGAAACAAAGCGCAATGTACCAAGTTGTTCTCAGTCACGAATCTATGAAATCTTCAAAACTAAAACGTCATTTGAGACGAGTCATTCGGAACACACCAAAAAATATATGGAGTTCTTTTGTCGGTAAGAAGCTAGTTGCTGACGCCAGAGACTTGATCGAACAGGAAGTTTTCACCAGCATTAGTGCAAGCATCAAATGAAGTCGCGATAGAAAATGCCAAGCAAAAACAATAAAAACAAAGGAGAAAATCTCATCAAACGCTGCATGTACGTAAATGTTAAATAACACATTTTTATTGAAATTAAGCTTTCACCATTGTTTGCTTTTCAAGTTGATAAATCAACAGACGTGAGTTCATGGTCGCAGTTGCTGGTCTGTGTCTATATTCACGCGGATGATAGCAAAGAAGAGTTGCTCTTTTATGAAGATAGCATGGAGAAAATAAATACCTTTTTTGAAACTGGATGATTAAAATGGGTTAGAACGGCTGTGGGGGTTTGTACGGATGGTGCGCCATCTATGTTTAGCTCAAAATCGGGCTTTCAGAAAACAGAAAAGATTTAGCTCCCTAACAACTGCCCTAACCAATCGACATCAAGAGTCCATTGCTATTATAAGTTGTAAATTATATAAAATCTGGAGCCTTCAAAGAACTGAGCAAAAACATTAATATAGATCACGAGGTTCTGCTCTTCTACACTACAGTACGCTGGCTGTCAAACGAAATGTTATAAATAGTGTATTTGAATTGAAATCTGAAATCAAATTGTTCTTGGAAATGCAAAGGAAACAAGACTTTTTGGTATACTTAAAACGACATAGAGTGGTTGGAAAGAGTATCATACCTAGCAGATGTGTTAGAACATCAAGATAAGCTTAACCTGAAGCTTCAGGGAAAATGAACGAATATTAAAATTTTCCATGATAATCTCGGGGCATTTTTATCAAAGCTGCAAAATCGGTAAAGAAAATACATCTTGGAAATATTGTAAATTTGAGAAACTCTTCGGTGTGGTAGATGAATCTGATTGTGAGATAATTAAAATTTTGAAAGAAGCGATTTCTGGGCATCTTGAATCTCTTGAAAACGAACTGCATCGCTAAGAAAAAAAGAAGAATCTGCATTTACGCATTACCCATTCTCTTCTTCCCTTGATGTTGTCAGCATTCCCGATGATTTACAAGATGAATTCTTTGATTTGCAGAATGATTCCGAGTAAGATGAAAAACTGCAGACACAATTTTGGTGTAGTATTCACCATTCATACCCAAACGTAAAATTGATTGACTTTTCGAGAATATATTTTCAACACTATTCTTCGATTAAAAACAAAACTAAGATAATTATAATGACATAGGTTGGCGTTAACAAAATTTTTTTTAAATTAAAATTTTAACCACGAAGGTTTAGTGAATAGTATGCAATTTTACTCATGCTATTAAAATAATTATCAAGTGTAGTTCATATTGAAAGTCTACTAGAAAATCTTAGTGTTTATTAATTTCCATTCTAATTTCGGCTTTTTAATTCTATGGGGGTCGCGGGTCACTTACTTTTTATAAAAGGGGGTCGCCACTCGAAAAAGGTTGGGAACCACTGGGTTAGCGTCATCATTACATGGGGCAGGTTAGCTTCATCATTACATGGGACAGGTTAGCGTCATCATTACATGGGACAGGTTAGCGTCATCATTACATGGGGCAGGTTAGCGTCATCATTACATGGCACATGTTAGGGTTAGCGTCATCATTACATGGGACATGTTAGGGTTAGCGTCATCATTACATGGGGCAGGTTAGCGTCATCATTACATGGGACAGGTTAGCGTCATCATTACACGGGACATGTTAGGGTCATCATTACATGGGACAGGTTAGCGCCATCATTACATGGGGCATGTTGGCTTCATCATTACATGGGACAGGTTAGGGTTAGCGTCATCATTACATGGGGCAGGTTAGGGTTAGCGTCATCATTACATGGGGCAGGTTAGGGTTAGCGTCATCATTACATGGGGCAGGTTAGCTTCATCATTACATGGGGCAGGTTAGGGTTAGCGTCATCATTACATGGGACAGGTTAGCTTCATCATTACATGGGACAGGTTAGGGTTAGCGTCATCATTACATGGGACAGGTTAGCGTCATCATTACATGGGACATGTTGGCTTCATCATTACATGGGACAGGTTAGGGTTAGCGTCATCATTACATGGGGCAGGTTAGGGTTAGCGTCATCATTACATGGGGCAGGTTAGGGTTAGCGTCATCATTACATGGGGCAGGTTAGGGTTAGCGTCATCATTACATGGGACATGTTGGCTTCATCATTACATGGGACAGGTTAGGGTTAGCGTCATCATTACATGGGGCAGGTTAGGGTTAGCGTCATCATTACATGGGGCAGGTTAGCGTCATCATTACATGGGGCAGGTTAGGGTTAGCGTCATCATTACATGGGACAGGTTAGCGTCATCATTACATGGGGCAGGTTAGGGTTAGCGTCATCATTACATGGGACATGTTAGGGTTAGCGTCATCATTACATGGGACATGTTAGGGTTAGCGTCATCATTACATGGGACATGTTGGCTTCATCATTACATGGGACAGGTTAGGGTTAGCGTCATCATTACATGGGGCAGGTTAGGGTTAGCGTCATCATTACATGGGGCAGGTTAGCTTCATCATTACATGGGACATGTTAGCGTCATCATTACATGGGACATGTTAGGGTTAGCTTCATCATTACATGGGACAGGTTAGCGTCATCATTACATGGGACAGGTTAGCTTCATCATTACATGGGACAGGTTAGGGTTAGCGTCATCATTACATGGGGCAGGTTAGGGTTAGCGTCATCATTACATGGGACAGGTTAGCGTCATCATTACATGGGGCAGGTTAGCGTCATCATTACATGGGACATGTTGGCTTCATCATTACATGGGACATGTTAGCGTCATCATTACATGGGACATGTTAGCTTCATCATTACATGGGACAGGTTAGGGTTAGCTTCATCATTACATGGGGCAGGTTAGCGTCATCATTACATGGGACATGTTAGCTTCATCATTACATGGGACAGGTTAGGGTTAGCTTCATCATTACATGGGACACGTTAGCGTCATCATTACATGGGACAGGTTAGCGTCATCATTACATGGGACATGTTGGCTTCATCATTACATGGGACATGTTAGCGTCATCATTACATGGGACAGGTTAGCGTCATCATTACATGGGACAGGTTAGCGTCATCATTACACGGGACATGTTAGGGTCATCATTACATGGGACAGGTTAGCGTCATCATTACATGGGACAGGTTAGCGTCATCATTACACGGGACATGTTAGGGTCATCATTACATGGGACAGGTTAGCGTCATAATTACATGGGACAGGTTAGCTTCATCATTACATGGGACAGGTTAGCGCCATCATTACATGGGACAGGTTAGCGTCATCATTACATGGGACATGTTGGCTTCATCATTACATGGGACAGGTTAGGGTTAGCGTCATCATTACATGGGGCAGGTTAGGGTTAGCGTCATCATTACATGGGACATGTTGGCTTCATCATTACATGGGACAGGTTAGGGTTAGCGTCATCATTACATGGGGCAGGTTAGGGTTAGCTTCATCATTACATGGGACAGGTTAGCGTCATCATTACATGGGACATGTTAGGGTTAGCTTCATCATTACATGGGACAGGTTAGCTTCATCATTACATGGGACAGGTTAGGGTTAGCGTCATCATTACATGGGGCAGGTTAGGGTTAGCGTCATCATTACATGGGACAGGTTAGCGTCATCATTACATGGGACATGTTAGCTTCATCATTACATGGGACAGGTTAGGGTTAGCTTCATCATTACATGGGGCAGGTTAGGGTTAGCGTCATCATTACATGGGACAGGTTAGCTTCATCATTACATGGGGCAGGTTAGCGTCATCATTACATGGGACAGGTTAGCGTCATCATTACACGGGGCAGGTTAGCGTCATCATTACATGGGACAGGTTAGCGTCATCATTACATGGGACAGGTTAGGATTAGCTTCATCATTACATGAGACAGGTTAGCGTCATCATTACATGGGACAGGTTAGCTTCATCATTACATGGGACAGGTTAGGGTTAGCGTCATCATTACATGGGGCAGGTTAGGGTTAGCGTCATCATTACACGGGGCAGGTTAGCGTCATCATTACATGGGACAGGTTAGGGTTAGCGTCATCATTACATGGGGCAGGTTAGCGTCATCATTACATGGGACAGGTTAGGGTTAGCGTCATCATTACATGGGACAGGTTAGGGTTAGCTTCATCATTACATGGGACAGGTTAGCTTCATCATTACATGGGACAGGTTAGCGTCATCATTACATGGGACAGGTTAGGATTAGCTTCATCATTACATGGGACAGGTTAGCGTCATCATTACATGGGACAGGTTAGCTTCATCATTACATGGGGCAGGTTAGGGTTAGCGTCATCATTACATGGGACAGGTTAGGGTTAGCTTCATCATTACATGGGACACGTTAGCGTCATCATTACACGGGACATGTTAGCTTCATCATTACATGGGACAGGTTAGGGTTAGCTTCATCATTACATGGGACAGGTTAGCTTCATCATTACATGGGACAGGTTAGGGTTAGCTTCATCATTACATGGGACAGGTTAGGGTTAGCTTCATCATTACATGGGACATGTTGGCTTCATCATTACATGGGACAGGTTAGCGTCATCATTACATGGGACACGTTAGCGTCATCATTACATGGGGCAGGTTAGGGTTAGCGTCATCATTACATGGGACAGGTTAGGGTTAGCGTCATCATTACATGGGACAGGTTAGCTTCATCATTACATGGGACAGGTTAGGGTTAGCGTCATCATTACATGGGGCAAGTTAGGGTTAGCGTCATCATTACATGGGGCAGGTTAGGGTTAGCGTCATCATTACATGGGACATGTTAGTTTCATCATTACATGGGGCAGGTTAGCGTCATCATTACATGGGACAGGTTAGCGTCATCATTACACGGGGCAGGTTAGCGTCATCATTACATGGGACAGGTTAGGGTTAGCGTCATCATTACATGGGACACGTTAGCTTCATCATTACATGGGGCAGGTTAGCGTCATCATTACATGGGACAGGTTAGCGTCATCATTACACGGGGCAGGTTAGCGTCATCATTACATGGGACAGGTTAGCGTCATCATTACATGGGACAGGTTAGCGTCATCATTACACGGGGCAGGTTAGCGTCATCATTACATGGGGCAGGTTAGCGTCATCATTACATGGGACAGGTTAGCGTCATCATTACACGGGGCAGGTTAGCGTCATCATTAAATGGGACAGGTTAGGGTTAGCGTCATCATTACATGGGACATGTTAGCGTCATCATTACATGGGACATGTTAGCGTCATCATTACATGGGGCAGGTTAGGGTTAGCGTCATCATTACATGGGACAGGTTAGGGTTAGCGTCATCATTACATGGGACAGGTTAGGGTTAGCGTCATCATTACATGGGACAGGTTAGCGTCATCATTACATGGGGCAGGTTAGGGTTAGCGTCATCATTACATGGGGCAGGTTAGCGTCATCATTACATGGGACACGTTAGCGTCATCATTACATGGGGCAGGTTAGCGTCATCATTACATGGGACAGGTTAGGGTTAGCGTCATCATTACATGGGGCAGGTTAGCGTCATCATTACATGGGACAGGTTAGGGTTAGCGTCATCATTACATGGGGCAGGTTAGCGTCATCATTACATGGGGCAGGTTAGGGTTAGCGTCATCATTACATGGGACAGGTTAGCGTCATCATTACATGGGGCAGGTTAGGGTTAGCGTCATCATTACATGGGACAGGTTAGGGTTAGCGTCATCATTACATGGGACAGGTTAGGGTTAGCGTCATCATTACATGGGACAGGTTAGCGTCATCATTACATGGGGCAGGTTAGGGTTAGCGTCATCATTACATGGGGCAGGTTAGCGTCATCATTACATGGGACACGTTAGCGTCATCATTACATGGTGCAGGTTAGCGTCATCATTACATGGGACAGGTTAGGGTTAGCGTCATCATTACATGGGGCAGGTTAGCGTCATCATTACATGGGACAGGTTAGGGTTAGCGTCATCATTACATGGGGCAGGTTAGCGTCATCATTACATGGGGCAGGTTAGGGTTAGCGTCATCATTACACGGGGCAGGTTAGCGTCATCATTACATGGGGCAGGTTAGGGTTAGCGTCATCATTACATGGGACAGGTTAGGGTTAGCGTCATCATTACATGGGACAGGTTAGGGTTAGCTTCATCATTACATGGGACATGTTGGCTTCATCATTACATGGGACAGGTTAGCGTCATCATTACATGGGACACGTTAGCGTCATCATTACATGGGGCAGGTTAGCGTCATCATTACATGGGGCAGGTTATGGTTAGCGTCATCATTACATGGGACACGTTAGCGTCATCATTACATGGGACAGGTTAGCGTCATCATTACATGGGGCAGGTTAGCGTCATCATTACATGGGGCAGGTTAGCGTCATCATTACATGGGGCAGGTTAGGGTTAGCGTCATCATTACATGGGACAGGTTAGGGTTAGCGTCATCATTACATGGGGCAGGTTATGGTTAGCGTCATCATTACATGGGACACGTTAGCGTCATCATTACATGGGACAGGTTAGGGTTAGCTTCATCATTACATGGGGCAGGTTAGCGTCATCATTACATGGGACAGGTTAGGGTTAGCTTCATTATTACATGGGACACGTTAGCGTCATCATTACATGGGGCAGGTTAGCGTCATCATTACATGGGACATGTTAGGGTTAGCTTCATCATTACATGGGACAGGTTAGGGTTAGCGTCATCATTACATGGGACAGGTTAGGGTTAGCTTCATCATTACACGGGGCAGGTTAGGGTTAGCGTCATCATTACATGGGGCAGGTTAGGGTTAGCTTCATTATTACATGGGACAGGTTAGGGTTAGCTTCATCATTACATGGGACAGGTTAGGGTTAGCTTCATCATTACATGGGACATGTTAGCGTCATCATTACATGGGGCAGGTTAGGGTCATCATTACATGGGACAGGTTAGGGTTAGCTTCATCATTACATGGGACAGGTTAGCGTCATCATTACATGGGGCAGGTTAGCTTCATCATTACATGGGACAGGTTAGGGTTAGCTTCATCATTACACGGGGCAGGTTAGCGTCATCATTACATGGGGCAGGTTAGGGTTAGCGTCATCATTACATGGGGCAGGTTAGCTTCATCATTACATTGGACAGGTTAGGGTTAGCGTCATCATTACATGGGGCAGGTTAGGGTTAGCTTCATCATTACATGGGACAGGTTAGGGTTAGCTTCATCATTACATGGGACAGGTTAGCTTCATCATTACATGGGACAGGTTTGGGTTAGCGTCATCATTACATGGGGCAGGTTTGGGTTAGCTTCATGTCTCATGCCGGCCGTCAGTCTTACACTCGGATTAATCCTATCATACAGGACTGTCCACAAACACAAGTATTGCCTTTATAGCACGCTCAAATAAAACAAATGATACAGTTTAATACACTCCCAAAGACAGACATGGAATTAACGACAGACATGGAATTAACGACAGACATGGAATTAACGACAGACATGGAATTAACGACAGACATGGAATTAACGACAGACATGGAATTAACGACAGACATGGAATAAAAGACAGACATGGAATTAACGACAGACATGGAATAAAAGACAGACATGGAATTAACGACAGACATGGAATAAAAGACAGACATGGAATTAACGACAGACATGGAATTAACGACAGACATGGAATAAAAGACAGACATGGAATTAACGACAGACATGGAATTAACGACAGACATGGAATTAACGACAGACATGGAATAAAAGACAGACATGGAATTAACGACAGACATGGAATTAACGACAGACATGGAATTAACGACGGACATGGAATTAACGACAGACATGAAATAAAAGACAGACATGAAATTAACGACAGACATGGAAATAACGACAGACATGAAATAAAAAAAACTCAAGTAAAGGTGAGCCTGACCTCTGGCGAGGGCAAAGGTTGACCCAGGTGCTTGAGGTCCTCCCTCCTGATCCTGGAGGAGATGTAGCTGTAGGTGCCCTGTATGTAGGGGTTGCTGATCCACTTGGTCCTGGGGCACAAACTCAGGGGGTTTTACAAGGTCAGAGGTCAAATACAAGGTCAGAGGTCAAATACAAGGTCAGGGGCGAATACAAGGTCAGGGGCGAATACAAGGTCAGGGGCGAATACAAGGTCAGGGGCGAATACAAGGTCAGGGGCGAATACAAGCTCACGAGTCATCCCGTAATATCTAAGGTCAGGGGTCGTTCCATATTATTCAAGGTAATGTTTTTTTTTTTAAAGGCGAACAGCTGTTTCATCTAAAACGGTTAAGCTTGAAGTTAATGTAATAAAAAATTGTCTAGGTTTTTTTAACTCCAAAGAAAAGGCCAAGATCTCTCACCTGCACATGTCCACTGGTTTTGGGATAGTCAGGTGTTTGAAGAACGTTTGGAGAACTTCATGGCAGACGTCCTTGACCTCTGTCTCGTCAAGCTGCTCCATGATGCTGGCCTAGAAGCACCGGCACCGTTACCATAGCAACAATGTGAACATTAGTCATGTTAAAACCAACATATTACACAGCAACAACTCTCTCAGTCACCACCATACCCTTTAGGGTAGTCAGTCCCCACCCCCAATGGATTCTGTCGCCCACCCACCCCTGATGTAAGACCCCCCATGTTTGACCCCCCATGTTTGACCCCACCCACCCCTGATGTAAGACCCCCCATGTTTGACCCCCCACCCACCCCTGATTTAAGACCCCCCATGTTTGACCCCCACCCACCCCTGATGTAAGACCCCCCATGTTTGACCCCCCACCCACCCCTGATGTAAGACCCCCCATGTTTGACCCCCACCCACCCCTGATGTAAGACCCCCCATGTTTGACCCCCCACCCCCTGATGTAAGACCCCCCCCACCCCCTGATGTAAGACCCCCCATGTTTGACCCCCCACCCACCCCTGATTTAAGACCCCCCATGTTTGACCCCCACCCACCCCTGATGTAAGACCCCCCATGTTTGACCCCCCACCCACCCCTGATGTAAGACCCCCCATGTTTGACCCCCACCCACCCCTGATGTAAGACCCCCCATGTTTGACCCCCCACCCCCTGATGTAAGACCCCCCTGACGTTTGACCCCGCCCACCCCCTGATGTAAGACCCCCCTGACGTTTGACCCCCGCCCACCCCCTGATGTAAGACCCCCCCGACGTTTGACCCCCGCCCACCCCCTGATGTAAGACCCCCCCGACGTTTGACCCCCACCCACCCCCTGATGTAAGACCCCCCTGACGTTTGACCCCCGCCCACCCCCTGATGTAAGACCCCCCCGACGTTTGACCCCCACCCACCCCCTGATGTAAGACCCCCCTGACGTTTGACCCCCACCCACCCCCTGATGTAAGACCCCCCCGACGTTTGACCCCCGCCCACCCCCTGATGTAAGACCCCCCCATGTTTGACCCCCCGCCCACCCCCTGATCTAAGACCCCCCCCCTGACGTTTGACCCCCGCTCACCCCCCTCACCTGATCCTTGTTGAGCCAGAGCTCCAGGATGTTTGGACTCCCGTACACAGTTTCTGCGGCGTGCAGGCCGTACCACCAGGGTTTGCCGTACTGGAGAGTAAGGTAAGCCGTGGTTAAAGGTAAGCCGTGGTGAAAGGTAAGCCGTGGTTAAAGGTAAGCCGTGGTGAAAGGTAAGCCGTGGTGAAAGGTAAGCCGTGGTTAAAGGTAAACCGTGGTGAAAGGTAAGTCATGGTTAAAGGTAAGTCGTGGTTAAAGGTAAGCCGTGGTTAAAGGTAAGCCGTGGTTAAAGGTAAGCCATGTCGGTTATGGCAGGGAAAGGTAAGTGACCTATAACCTGAAAAAGTCCACATCAGGTGAAATGCCGCTGGATGACCTACCCTGGTCTTCTGCGGACAGCGGTCACTGTGTATGACGACAGGCGCCGAGTCCAGCCACAGCAGGTCAAAGGACTCCACATGATGGACGCCATTGGTCGTGGTGTAGCCCACAAATGGCTCGTTCCAGATGAGAAATATCTGAGAAAAAGTTCAGGTGTAACAATAGCAACCACAGGATGTGACACAAAGGCCAATGTTTGTGACATATGACAACAGACAAAAGGCCAATGTGACATATGACAACAGATAAAAGGCCAATGTTTGTGACATATGACAAAAGGCCAATGTTTGTGACATATGACAACAGATAAAAGGCCAATGTTTGTGACATATGACAACAGATAAAAGGCCAATGTTTGTGACAGATGACAACAGATAAAAGGCCAATGTTTGTGACATATGACAACAGATAAAAGGCCAATGTTTGTGACATATGACAAAAGGCCAATGTTTGTGACATATGACAAAAGGCCAATGTTTGTGACATATGACAACAGATAAAAGGCCAATGTTTGTGACATATGACAACAGTTAAAAGGCCAATGTTTGTGACATATGACAACAGATAAAAGGCCAATGTTTGTGACATATGACAACAGATAAAAGGCCAATGTTTGTGACATATGACAACATATAAAAGACTAATGTTTGTGACATATGACAACATATAAAAGGCCAATGTTTGTGACATATGACAACATATAAAAGGTGCACCTTTCCTATCCCGCCAAAACCTATATGGTTTATGGCCGACTGGAGGGGGCGTGGCAGTTCCGGCTTGAAGAGCTTCCGATGGCCAGACTGCAGACAGCCTATACTGACAGTGACAATGACGTAATCAGACAGATATTGTCTCCCATTTTCACACGTCACTCGGCATTTTCCCAACTTTGGAGTTTTACTGACGTCACTCTGGTTCAAAATACAAATTGGAGTTATAAAAACAGCTTAGTTCTTTTAGTTTTTGTATGTTAAACTATGTCTATGTGTGCTACTGGTGTGTTTAACTTACCCAGTCTATGTGTGTTACTGGTATGTTTGTTTAACTTACCCAGTCTATGTGTGCTACTGGTGTGTATGTTTAACTTACCCAGTCTATGTGTGCTACTGGTGTGTTTAACTTACCCAGTCTATGTGTGCTACTGGTGTGTTTAACTTACCCAGTCTATGTGTGCTACTGGTGTGTTTAACTTACCCAGTCTATGTGTGCTACTGGTGTGTTTAACTTACCCAGTCAATGTGTGCTACTGGTGTGTATGTTTAACTTACCAAGTCTATGTGCTACTGGTGTGTATGTTTAACTTACCCAGTCTATGTGTGCTACTGGTATGTTTAAGTTACCCAGTCTATGTGTGCTACTGGTGTGTTTAACTTACCCAGTCTATGTGTGCTACTGGTGTGTTTAACTTACCCAGTCTATGTGTGCTCTGGTATGTTTAACTTACCCAGTCTATGTGTGCTACTGGTGTGTTTAACTTACCCAGTCTATGTGTGCTACTGGTGTGTTTAACTTACCCAGTCTATGTGTGCTACTGGTATGTTTAACTTACCCAGTCTATGTATGCTACTGGTGTGTATGTTAAACTTACTCAGTCTATGTGTGCTACTGGTATGTTTAACTTACCCAGTCTATGTGTGCTACTGGTGTGTTTAACTTACCCAGTCTATGTGTGCTACTGGTGTGTTTAACTTACCCAGTCTATGTGTGTTACTGGTGTGTTTAACTTACCCAGTCTATGTGTGCTACTGGTATGTTTAACTTACCCAGTCTATGTGTGCTACTGGTGTGTTTAACTTACCCAGTCTATGTGTGCTACTGGTATGTTTAAATTACCCAGTCTATGTGTGCTACTGGTATGTTTAACTTACCCAGTCTATGTGTGCTACTGGTGTGTTTAACTTACCCAGTCTATGTGTGCTACTGGCATGTTTTACTTACCCAGTCTATGTATGCTACTGGTGTGTATGTTTAACTTACCCAGTCTATGTGTGCTACTGGTGTATATGTTTAACTTACCCAGTCTATGTGTGCTACTGGTGTGTATGTTTAACTTACCCAGTCTATGTGTGCTACTGGTGTGTATGTTTAACTTATCCAGTCTATGTGTGCTACTGGTGTGTGTTAAACTTACCCAGTCTATGTATGCTACTGGTGTGTATGTTTAACTTACCCAGTCTATGTATGCTACTGGTGTGTTTAACTTACCCAGTCTATGTGTGCTACTGGTGTGTATGTTTAACTTACCCAGTCTATGTGTGCTACTGGTGTGTGTGTTTCACTTACCCAGTCTATGTGTGCTACTGGTGTGTTATTTACCCAGTCTATGTGTGCTACTGGTGTGTTTAACTTACCCAGTCTATGTGTGCTACTGGTGTGTTTAACTTACCCAGTCTATGTGTGCTACTGGTGTGTTTAACTTACCCAGTCTATGTGTGCTACTGGTCTGTATGTTTCACTTACCCAGTCTATGTGTGCTACTGGTGTGTTTAACTTACCCAGTCTATGTGTGCTACTGGTGTGTTTAACTTACCCAGTCTATGTGTGCTACTGGTGTGTTTAACTTACCCAGTCTATGTGTGCTACTGGTGTGTATGTTTAACTTACCCAGTCTATGTGTGCTACTGGTGTGTATGTTTAACTTACCCAGTCTATGTATGCTACTGGTGTGTTTAACTTACCCAGTCTATGTGTGCTACTGGTGTGTATGTTTAACTTACCCAGTCTATGTGTGCTACTGGTATGTTTAACTTACCCAGTCTATGTGTGCTACTGGTATGTTTAACTTACCCAGTCTATGTGTGCTACTGGTGTGTATGTTTAACTTACCCAGTCTATGTGTGCTACTGGTGTGTTTAACTTACCCAGTCGATGTGTGCTACTGGTGTGTTTAACTTACCCAGTCTATGTGTGCTACTGGTGTGTATGTTTAACTTACCCAGTCTATGTGTGCTACTGGTGTGTATGTTTAACTTACCCAGTCTATGTGTGCTACTGGTGTGTATGTTTAACTTACCCAGTCTATGTGTGCTACTGGTGTGTTTAACTAACCCAGTCTGTGTGCTACTGGTGTGTATGTTTAACTTACCCAGTCTATGTGTGCTACTGGTGTGTATGTTTAACTTACCCAGTCTATGTGTGCAACTGGTGTGTTTAACTTACCCAGTCTATGTGTGCTACTGGTGTGTATGTTTAACTTACCCAGTCTATGTGTGCTACTGGTGTGTATGTTTAACTTACCCAGTCTATGTGTGCAACTGGTGTGTTTAACTTACCCAATCTATGTGTGCTACTGGTGTGTATGTTTAACTTACCCAGTCTATGTGTGCTACTGTGTGTATGTTTAACTTACCCAGTCTATGTGTGCTACTGGTGTGTATGTTTAACTTACCCAGTCTATGTGTGCTACTGGTGTGTATGTTTAACTTACCCAGTCTATGTGTGCTACTGGTGTGTTGAGGTGGATGATGTTTGGTGGAAGAAGGTCCGCAATGGCTTTCAAAATGGCGGTTATGCCACCCTTGACGTAAGTGAACCGATGACCTTTGAGGACCTTGTAAATACTCAGAGCCCAAACAGAGAGGTCTTTGAGGTCATAAGCAGACGTGTCGATCGTCTGGTAGGCGCAGTACCACCTGTGGACGGCAGATAGAGGAGGGGGTTTACACCTGGCAAAAGGTTTAACATAGGGGCGTTTACACCTGGCAAAAGGTTTAACATAGGGGCATTTACACCTGGCAAAAGGTTTAACATAGGGGCATTTACACCTGGCAAAAGGTTTAACATAAAGGCATTTACAGCATGAGACAGGAGCTTTGACTCTGTGTTGTCAGCTAGTCTATTTATAGGTTTATCGTGCTGTAGTAAACAAACGACTGGCTCACCTAAAGATGGCGTCATAGAGTTCCCTAAGGCGTGGTGTGAGCGTGTGGTTGTTGGCCTCTAGGAACTGGTCATAGGCCCTCTCATAACACTCGCCCTCGTTCTGGCCTCGGTCGTCGATCTCCACGGGCTCCTCCCCCGCCTCCTTCAACAGGTGTCGGGTCAGGTGTTCCACCAGGGCGCCCGTCTCGCGCTGACTCACCTGCAAGGGTCACAGCATCTATATAGGTCAGAGTTCGCGTGGGTCACACTATCAAAGTCTACGTCCGGTTCTCTCAGAAGTGTGTACCTACTGTTGGCTCAGCCATGTGTACACAATCAAAGCAAACAGTAGCCAGACTTTGATCTAATCCTAGCCAGAGCAAAGACCTACAGACAGCTTGTATAGACCTACAGACAGCTTGTATAGACCTACAGACAGCTTGTATAGACCTACAGACAGCTTGTATAGACCTACAGACAGCTTGTATAGACCTACAGACAGCTTGTATAGACCTACAGACAGCTTGTATAGACCTACAGACAGCTTGTATGACGTAGACTGGAAGGAGTGTGACGTCGGGAGGAGGCTGTGTGACGTTGTGACGTACAGAGATGTAGTATGACTTCTAGGAATAAGTGTGACGCGGTGAGCTAGAAAGTGTGACGTGGTGAGGTAGAAAGTGTGACATGGTCAGGTAGAAAGTGTGACGTAGTGAGGTAGAAAGTGTGACGTGGTGAGGTAGAAAGTGTGACGTGGTGAGGTAGAAAGTGTGACGTGGTGAGGTAGAAAGTGTGACGTGCTGAGGTAGAAAGTGTGACGTGGTGAGGTAGAAAGTGCGACGTGGTCAGGTTAAAGAAACGGAAGTGACGTGGTGAGGTATAATGAAACGGAAGTGACGTGGTGTGGTATAATGAAACGGAAGTGACGTGGTGAGGTATAATGAAACGGAAGTGACGTGGTGAGGTAGAAAGTGTGACGTGGTGAGGTAGAAAGTGTGACGTGGTGAGGTAGAAAGAAACGGAAGTGACGTGGTGAGGTATAATGAAACGGAAGTGACGTACCCTGTGACCTGAGCTAGTGAGGAACTCTGGGGGTGAGTTGATGAGCTGGGTCTGCAGACAGGCCGTGGTGGGGTAGAACTCCATGCCCAGACGCTCGGCGATATAGAAGGCGGGGTTCCCGTCCCGGCCGTGCACAAACTGGGCGCCAAGGTCTATGGGGGTGTTGTCTGTGGGACACAGGTCAGAGAGGTCAGTTAGAGAGGTCAGTTAGAGAGGTCAGTTAGAGAGGTCAGTTAGACATGGGTCAGACAAGAGTTGTCTTACCGACTACTTCCGCCTTGACACGCCCACCTACGTAGTCCTGAGCCTCAAGGATGATGACGTCACTGACGCCATGTTTGAGCAGCCAGGCAGCCGCTGTAACCCCGGCTGTTCCAGCTCCCACAATCACAACCTTGGTGGTCTGCATGCTGCTGCAACAGATACATCAACACCGTCATACATCAACACCGTCATACAACATACATCAACACCGTCATACAACATACATCAACACCGTCATACATCAACACAGTCATACAACAAACATCAACACCGTCATACATCAACACAGTCATACAACATACATCAACACCGTCATACAACATACATCAACACCGTCATACAACATACATCAACACCGTCATACATCAACACCGTCATACAACAACACCGTCATACAACATACATCAACACCGTCATACAACACATACATCAACACCGTCATACAACATAAACACCGTCATACAACATACATCAACACCGTCATACAACACATACATCAACACCGTCATACAACATACAACAACACCGTCATACAACATACATCAACACCGTCATACAACATACATCAACACCATCATACAACATACATCAACACCGTCATACATCACATACATCAACACCGTCATACATCACATACATCAACACCGTCATACAACATACATCAACACCGTCATACAACATACATCAACACCGTCATACAACATACATCAACACCGTCATACAACATACATCAACACCATCATACAACATACATCAACACCATCATACAACAACACCATCATACAACATACATCAACACCGTCATACAACATACATCAACACCGTCATACAACATACATCAACACCGTCATACAACACATACATCAACACCGTCATACAACACATACATCAACACCGTCATACAACATACATCAACACCGTCATACAACACATACATCAACACCGTCATACAACACATACATCAACACCGTCATACAACATACATCAACACCGTCATACAACACATACATCAACACCGTCATACAACATACATCAACACCGTCATACAACATACATCAACACCGTCATACAACACATACATCAACACCGTCATACAACACATACATCAACACCGTCATACAACATACATCAACACCGTCATACAACACATACATCAACACCGTCATACAACACATACATCAACACCGTCATACAACATACATCAACACCGTCATACAACACATACATCAACACCGTCATACAACACATACATCAACACCGTCATACAACATACATCAACACCGTCATACAACACATACATCAACACCGTCATACAACACATACATCAACACCGTCATACAACATACATCAACACCGTCATACAACATACATCAACACCGTCATACAACATACATCAACACCGTCATACATCAACACCGTCATACAACATACATCAAACACCGTCATACAACATACATCAAGTGAAACTTAAGTCATGTGGCCTCCAGTTGATCTTCCCGTACCTGGTGGCATTCAACGGTTGGTCCAAACTTCTGGCCAACTGGGTAGGGGGGGGGGGGGGTAAGGGGTGGGTTGGGGGGGTAAGGGGTGGGTTGGGAGGGTAGGGGGGCGGGTAGGGAGTGCGGTGTGTAATTGGAGCAGGCAACGGATCTTTACAACAAGCCGTGACGGTGGTTTGTGACACGTCACCTAACTGTATGAACGTGTCACAACATAATGTCACCTCGGCACTGGGTGTGTGTGGGTATTCTATACATATTCTATACATACATTGATCTGCTTGCTTTGGGTCGGATGTGTGTCTGCTTTATGAAACAGCCCCACACATTTATATATTTGTGACGTTCTATGAGTTCTGTCTGTGTCGTGTGTTGTGTGTCTTGTGTTGTGTGTCGTGTGTTGTGTGTAGTGTATCGTGTGTTATCTGTCGTGTGTTGTTTGTCGTGTATTGTGTGTCGTGTGTTATGTGTCGTGTGTTGTGTATCGTGTGTTGTGTGTCGTGTGTAGTGTGTAGTGTGTCGTGTGTTGTGTGTCGTGTGTAGTGTGTTGTGTGTTGTGTGTCGTGTGTTAAAGACTGACCTCCACGACTGCTCCACCAGGTATGTAAGTATGACGTACCAACAGACGCAATCAAAATATAACGGACAAATTTAGGCCTAGGTTCTACTGTCGTGATTTTAACACTGTTAGCTGAATATACGAGTTTATGCGAATTAAACACATGTGTTTAATTTAGTCTAACACATGTGTTCAAGTTAGTCTAATACATGCACATGTGTTCAAGCTAGTCTAACGTATGTGTCCATGTTAGTCTAACACATGTGTCCATGTTAGTCTAACACATGTGTCCATGTTAGTCTAACACATGTGTCCATGTTAGTCTAACACATGTGTCCATGTTAGTCTAACACATGTGTCCATGTCAGTCTAACACATGTGTCCATGTTAGTCTAACACATGTGTCCATGTTAGTCTAACACATGTGTCCATGTTAGTCTAACACATGTGTCCATGTTAGTCTAACACATGTGTCCATGTCAGTCTAACACATGTGTCCATGTTAGTCTAACACATGTGTCCATGTTAGTCTAACACATGTGTCCATGTTAGTCTAACACATGTGTCCATGTTAGTCTAACACATGTGTCCATGTTAGTCTAACACATGTGTCCATGTTAGTCTAACACATGTGTCCATGTTAGTCTAACACCTCTGTACACCACGGTAAGCACACGGACAAGGCCTACAAAAACATATTTAACACACACACAGACATGGACGAACACACCTACACTGAACATTACTTTGTGCTGTAAACAATGGGGTCACGTGCATAAAGCCACGTGACTGGCCATTCGGCGAATTGTGGTGACATGTCTGTCAGTGGTCAGACATCTAGTTCAACAGGCTGATGTCAACACATCTCTAGTACACAGGCTGATGTCAACACATCTCTAGTACACAGGCTGATGTCAACACATCTCTAGTACACAGGCTGATGTCAACACATCTCTAGTACACCAACAGCCTGATGTCAACACATCTCTAGTACACCAACAGGCTGATGTCAACACATCTCTAGTACACCAACAGGCTGATGTCAACACATCTCTAGTACACAGGCTGATGTCAACACATCTCTAGTACACAGGCTGATGTCAACACATCTCTAGTACACCAACAGGCTGATGTCAACACATCTCTAGTACACCAACAGGCTGATGTCAACACATCTCTAGTACACAGGCTGATGTCAACACATCTCTAGTACACAGGCTGATGTCAACACATCTCTAGTACACCAACAGGCTGATGTCAACACATCTCTAGTACACAGGCTGATGTCAACACATCTCTAGTACACAGGCTGATGTCAACACATCTCTAGTACACAGTCTGATGTCAACACATCTCTAGTACACCAACAAACTGATGTCAACACATCTCTAGTACACAGCCTGATGTCAACACATCTCTAGTACACAGGCTGATGTCAACACATCTCTAGTACACCAACAGGCTGATGTCAACACATCTCTAGTACACCAACAAACTGATGTCAACACATCTCTAGTACACCAACAGCCTGATGTCAACACATCCCTAGTACACCAACAGACTGATGTCAACACATCTCTAGTACACCAACAGCCTGATGTCAACACATCCCTAGTACACCAACAGGCTGATGTCAACACATCTCTAGTACACCAACAGGCTGATGTCAACACATCTCTAGTACACAGTCTGATGTCAACACATCTCTAGTACACCAACAGGCTGATGTCAACACATCTCTAGTACACCAACAGACTGATGTCAACACATCTCTAGTACACCAACAGGCTGATGTCAACACATCTCTAGTACACAGGCTGATGTCAACACATCTCTAGTACACCAACAGGCTGATGTCAACACATCTCTAGTACACCAACAGGCTGATGTCAACACATCTCTAGTACACCAACAGGCTGATGTCAACACATCTCTAGTACACCAACAGGCTGATGTCAACACATCTCTAGTACACCAACAGGCTGATGTCAACACATCTCTAGTACACAGGCTGATGTCAACACATCTCTAGTACACAGGCTGATGTCAACACATCTCTAGTACACCAACAGGCTGATGTCAACACATTTCTAGTACACAGGCTGATGTCAACACATCTCTAGTACACAGGCTGATGTCAACACATCTCTAGTACACCAACAGGCTGATGTCAACACATCTCTAGTACACCAACAAACTGATGTCAACACATCTCTAGTACACAGCCTGATGTCAACACATCTCTAGTACACAGGCTGATGTCAACACATCTCTAGTACACAGCCTGATGTCAACACATCTCTAGTACACCAACAGCCTGATGTCAACACATCTCTAGTACACCAACAGGCTGATGTCAACACATCTCTAGTACACAGCCTGATGTCAACACATCTCTAGTACACAGCCTGATGTCAACACATCTCTAGTACACCAACAGGCTGATGTCAACACATCTCTAGTACACCAACAGGCTGATGTCAACACATCTCTAGTACACAGCCTGATGTCAACACATCTCTAGTACACAGCCTGATGTCAACACATCTCTAGTACACCAACAGCCTGATGTCAACACATTTCTAGTACACAGGCTGATGTCAACACATCTCTAGTACACAGGCTGATGTCAACACATCTCTAGTACACCAACAGGCTGATGTCAACACATCTCTAGTACACCAACAAACTGATGTCAACACATCTCTAGTACACCAACAGGCTGATGTCAACACATCTCTAGTACACAGGCTGATGTCAACACATCTCTAGTACACAGGCTGATGTCAACACATCTCTAGTACACCAACAGCCTGATGTCAACACATTTCTAGTACACAGGCTGATGTCAACACATCTCTAGTACACAGGCTGATGTCAACACATCTCTAGTACACCAACAGGCTGATGTCAACACATCTCTAGTACACCAACAAACTGATGTCAACACATCTCTAGTACACAGTCTGATGTCAACACATCTCTAGTACACCAACAACCTGATGTCAACACATCTCTAGTACACCAACAGGCTGATGTCAACACATCTCTAGTACACCAACAAACTGATGTCAACACATCTCTAGTACACAGGCTGATGTCAACACATCTCTAGTACACCAACAGACTGATGTCAACACATCTCTAGTACACCAACAGGCTGACGTCAACACATCTCTAGTACACCAACAGGCTGATGTCAACACATCTCTAGTACACCAACAGGCTGATGTCAACACATCTCTAGTACACCAACAGTCTGATGTCAACACATTTCTAGTACACCAACAGGCTGATGTCAACACATCTCTAGTACACAGGCTGATGTCAACACATCTCTAGTACACCAACAGGCTGATGTCAACACATCTCTAGTACACCAACAGGTTGATGTCAACACATCTCTAGTACACCAACAGGCTGATGTCAACACATCTCTAGTACACCAACAGGCTGATGTCAACACATCTCTAGTACACCAACAACCTGATGTCAACACATCAATAACACGCACACATGTCCGTTATGTAACCAGCAACTTGTGGGTCAACAGACTAGATGAGGCAGGTGAACAAATCAATGAGCTTACTGTAAACACTGGTCACGTGACTGGCTGACTGAATGAAAACTTCCAACAACTGGCTGTCTTAGGTTCCCGCTTGTAGTGCCGAGGTCTGCTCATTTGCGTCTGATACTTGATGCGCCAATATAGCTTCATCTGCGCTGTTACTACATGCACTCTTATTCAGGCCACTGTGCAAGAAGTAAGGCCTCTCCTGATTGGTTTATCGATAATACCAACGTTGTTTCCGGCCAATGAAACACAAGGTACTGTCCTAAATGACGCGACATACCAGAGTTGAAGCCACGTGGTCCAATTGGAAGAAAATTGACCAAGTTTTTGTGCGATAAGGCCGACCGGTTCTGGTTAGATCTACTTGTGTCCTATAAATCACCACGATTTAATACCAGCTGACTCGATGACCTTCACCTTTATGTCGACGCTACAATCATAAAAGTTTAGTCAAATATGCTGGCACTGGTATCAATAGAGATTTCTTTTCACTGTACAGTGTATGAAGGTCACTCTGTGGTGTCTCGTTGTCGCCGATGGTGTCCCCTGACCACCAATGGTGTCTTTGTCAACTAATGGTGTTCACCCGATGATTCAACCCCCCACCCCCACCCCCAAAAACAGAAATAAAGATTTTAATGAACACGTGCATTGAACCATAGTGCAGAGGCGTAGCGACCCTTCCCGGAGCCCGGGGACAAACTTTTCGATATGCACCCCCCTCGAGATTTCGATTTGCACCCCCCCTCGAGATTTCGATATGCACCCCCCTCGAGATTTCGATATGCACCCCCCCCCTCGAGATTTCGATTTGCACCCCCCCTCGAGATTTCGATTTGCACTCCCCCCCCTCGAGATTTTGATTTGCACCCCCCCCTCAAACTTTCAATTTGCACCCCCATCAACCTTTCAATTTATTTTTCCAACCCATTTTGGCGCCCCCTAAGCTCGGCGCCCGGGGACATATGCCCCCCCGCCCCCCCCCCCCTCGCTACGCTACTGCGATAGTGTACAAAAAAAATTAGATGAACAAAAATGATGTCCTGGAGACGCCAATAATTAGCCACGCCCCTCCATAAATCATGGCGTCTGATTTCTAGTGACCTCCTACACTGCTGTCAACACAAGTCACGAAATTACAGCTCTCACTTTACACTGGTACTGAATGACAGCAACATTAAGACGAGAAAGGCTGTCATCAATGATGGTTTTATATATAACCTATTTATCTGACCACACTACTATCTGACCATACCACCATCTGACCACACCACCATCTGACCACACCACCATCTGACCACACTACTATCTGACCATACCACCATCTGACCACACCACCATCTGACCACACCACCATCTGACCACACCACCATCTGACCACACCACCATCTGACCACACCACCATCTGACCACACCACCATCTGACCACCATCTGACCACACCACCATCTGACCACACCACCATCTGACCACACCACCATCTGACCACCATCTGACCACACCACCATCTGACCACCATCTGACCACACCACCATCTGACCACACCACCGTCTGACCACACCACCATCTGACCACACCACCATCTGACCACACCACCATCTGACCACACCACCATCTGACCACACCACCATCTGACCACACCACCATCTGACCACCATCTGACCACACCACCATCTGACCACACCACCATCTGACCACACCACCATCTGACCACCATCTGACCACACCACCATCTGACCACCATCTGACCACACCACCATCTGACCACACCACCGTCTGACCACACCACCATCTGACCACACCACCATCTGACCATCATCTGACCACACCACCATCTGACCACACCACCGTCTGACCACACCACCATCTGACCACACCACCATCTGACCACACCACCATCTGACCACACCACCATCTGACTACACCACCATCTGACCACACCACCATCTGACCACACCACCATCTGACCACACCACCATCTGACCACACCACCATCTGACCACACCACCATCTGACCACACCACCATCTGGCCACATCACCATCTGACCACACCACCATCTGACCACACCACCATCTGACCACACCACCATCTGACCACACAACCATCTGACCACACCACCATCTGCCCACACCACCATCTGACCACCATCTGACCACACCACCATCTGACCACAAAACCATCTGACCACCATCTGACCACACCACCATCTGACCACCATCTGACCACACCACCATCTGACCACACCACCATCTGACCACACCACTATCTGACCACACCACCATCTGACCACACCACCATCTGACCACACCACCATCTGACCACACCACCATCTGACCACACCACCATCTGACCACACAACCATCTGACCACCATCTGACCACCATCTGACCACACAACTATCTGACCACCATCTGTCCACACCACCATCTGACCACACCACCATCTGACCACACCACCATCTGACCACACCACCATCTGACCACACCACCATCTGATCACACCACCATCTGACCACACCACCGTCTGACCACACCACCATCTGACCACCATCTGACCACACCACCATCTGACCACACCACCATCTGACCACACCACCATCTGACCACACCACTATCTGACCACACCACTATCTGACCACCATCTGACCACACCACTATCTGACCACCATCTGACCACACCACCATCTGACCACCATCTGACCACACCACCATCTGACCACACCACCATCTAACTAAACCACCATCTGTCAGGAATGATGGTTTTATATGTCACCTATTTATCTGACTACACTACTATCTGACCATACCACCATCTGAACACACCACCATCTTACCACACCACCATCTGACCACACCATCGTCTGACCACACCACCATCTAACTACACCACCATCTCACCACCATCTGACCACACCACCATCTGACCACACCACCATCTGACCACACCACCATCTGACCACACCACCATCTGACCACCATCTGACCACACCACCATCTGACCACACCACCATCTGACCACACCACCATCTGACCACACCACCATCTGACCACCATCTGACCACACCACCGTCTGACCACACCACCATCTGACCACACCACCATCTGACCACACCACAATCTGACCACCATCTGACCACCGTCTGACCACACCACCATCTGACCACACCACCATCTGACCACACCACCATCTGACCACACCACCATCTGACCACACCACCGTCTGACCACATCACCATCTGACCACACCACCGTCTGACCACACCACCGTCTAACCACACCACCATCTGACCACACCACCATCTGACCACACCACCATCGGACCACCATCTGACCACACCACCATCTGACCACACCACCATCTGACCACACCACCATCTGACCACACCACCATCTGACCACACCACCATCTGACCACACCACCATCTGACCACACCACCATCTGACCACACCACCATCTGACCACACCACCGTCTGACCACACCACCATCTGACCACACCCCCATCTGACCACACCACAATCTGACCACCATCTGACCACCGTCTGACCACACCACCATCTGACCACACCACCATCTGACCACACCACAATCTGACCACCATCTGATCACCGTCTGACCACACCACCATCTGACCACACCACCATCTGACCACCATCTGACCACACCACCATCTGACCACACCACCATCTGACCACACAACAATCTGACCACACCACCATCTGCCCACACCACCATCTGACCACTATCCGACTACACCACCATCTGACCACAAAAACTTCTGACCACCATCTGAGCACACCACCATCTGACCATCATCTGACCACACCACCATCTGACCACACCACCATCTGACCACCATCTGACCACACCACCATCTGACCACACCACCATCTGACCACACCACCATCTGACCACCATTTGATCACACCACTATCTGACCACACCACCATCTGACCACCATCTGATCACACCATCATCTGACCACACCACCATCTGACCACACCACCATCTGACCACACCACCATCTGACCACCATCTGACCACACCACCATCTGACCACACCACTATCTGACCACCATCTGATCACACCATCATCTGACCACACCACCATCTAACTACACCACCATCTGACCACCGTCTGACCACACCACCGTCTGATCACACCACCATCTGACCACCGTCTGACCACACCACCATCCGACCACACCACCATCTGACCACAGTCTGACCACACCACTATCTGACCACACCACCGTCTGACCACACCACCATCTGACCACACCACCATCTGACCACACCACCATCTAACTACACCACCATCTAACTACACCACCATCTGACCACACCACCATCTGACCACACCACCGTCTGACCACACCACCATCTGACCATACCACCATCTAACTACACCACCATCTGACCACACCACCATCTGACCACACCACCATCTGACCACAGTCTGACCACACCACCATCTGACCACACCACCATCTGTCCACACCACCATCTGACCACAGTCTGACCACACCACCATCTGACCACACCACCGTCTGACCACGCCACCGTCTAACCACCATCTGACAAAACTACCACCTGTTGTAAATGACGTGAGTTTTTGCCCTCTGGAACTATTCAATAATCAGGTCACGGCCAAGGTCGACTTGATCCTGTTAGTTTAGTGCAGGTACTGTCGGTGTGTCGTCACCTAACCTTTGGCCCTATTACCCCCCCCCCCCCCCCGCTGTTATACACGCCCTTGTTAAATAGTCTCCCTTTTCTTATCTCTAATCTTATTCAACATCAAACATTCGGTGCCCAAGTTTCCCGTCAAAAGTTATCTAAACACCCACACAAACATTTTCTCACACCCACACCAACATTTTCTCACACCCACACCACCATTTTCTCACACCCACACCAACATTTTCTCACACCCACATCACCATTTTCTTACAACC